TGTATAATTAAAGGCAAGAGAAGAAGGCCCTTGAAAGTGAATTGATTAATGTTGGATTGCTCATAAATTTTGCCGAGTGTGAGCTAGGTCTGGATTTCATTTGGTTTCTCGAAAACAAACAAACAAAACTGGAATGTGACCTTTGTCACTTTCAAATCCATCAGCTATACTGATGGCTTTTATTCTTTCATCTGGCTCCTTTCTAAGTATTACAGACAACTGTAAGGCTGGGATGATTTTGCCAAGTGTGGTGGAATTTTATCATGAGTTGTGGGAAGCGAAAGGCTGCCAAGCGGCTTGAGGGAATACCATTGGAAGAGTTACGATTTTCACCAAAATATGCCTTTCTAGTGATTTAAAAAATAGTGAGCTAGCCATCGCTTTCCTAGCCCCTTTTGATGACATAAGAGAGAGTTCTCATAAAGGGTAAGGACTCCTAGGGAGGGGCATACTCCCCGTCTGAAAGGATGTCTCCATCCCTTTAAAATATTGAAGTTGGCTTCTGCTATGCACATCCAGTATGGTGGCTATTGAAACTCAGCATCTCTAACTCACATAGAGATCAGGCTCGGAGCCTCCCCCTTCTTGTAGGAATTCACAGAGGGTCTTAGAAGGTCTTCATTTTCAGAGTCAATGAACTTGGGTCTAACTATTTCAGTTATCTGATATAACAGATCTTTGGCTCTTTTCAGAATAGCGTAACTGTCAAAAAGGCAGGGGCCTGGTTCTGGAGCAGCTGGTACTGGATTCAAATCCTGGCTTGGACAATTACCAGCTGGAAGACTTTGTGCAAGCTGTTTAATTTCTTTGCACCTCAGGCTTCCCACCTCCCTTATTAAAAAGAGGCTAATAAGAAACTTAGTTGCTATGAGGATTAAATACAAGGCACTTGTAACTCCTAAGTAACATGCAGTTGGAATAATTGTGTGTGATAAGGACTCACACGCTGGCTATCATTCTGTAAGTGATGCTATTATCCTGTGCCCTGGGGAATTCCTTATGCGGTCACTGTGATCCTATAGGAATGCGTATCGGTGGGTGGTGGGGGCCTTGGATTTTCTGGTCTCTACACTGGACATTTGCCGTGACGGCCCAGCTAGAGGGTAGGCTCTGCTTACCGTCAGAGAGCAAAAAAGGCCAGATGTCTTGAATGGCATGGGGTGTAGTCTCCCAGGGCCTATTGTATCAGAAGGCAAAAGAGCTTCCTGGGAGATGGTTGAGGACCCATCTGAGACTCACCACGGGAAAAAGTCATCATGTACACAGTGTGGCTGATTAATCATGGCCAAGTTGTTGTAGATGAGGGAAGTGTGTGTGTGTGTTAGCTGGTCAGTCATGGCCAATTCTTTGTGACCCCAGGGACTGTAGCCTGCCAGGCTCCTCCGTCCATGGGATTTTTCAGGCAAGAATATTAGAGTGGGTTGCCATTTCCTTCTCCAGGAGATCTTCCCAACCCAAGGATAGAACCTGGGTCTCCCACACGGCAGGCAGATTCTTTACTATCTGGGCCCACAGGGAAGCCCCAGATGAGGGGAGAGATGATACCAAATGCATCACAGGGAACTATTCTGCTCTCTCCTGAATCTCCTAGTTATTTAATTCTATAGAAGTTAGGCTTTGAGAAAAACCAAAAGCACTGTTCTCATGGACACCTCTGCTAAGCTATTAGGAATCCTCAAGAAACTCCCTAAGGCAATGGTTTTCCTTTTCCCCAGGAATTGAGTGTATTTATGGATTGTGACCAATTTTTCTAAGCAAAGGAGGCCTGGGAAACACCACTCAGATTCCTAACAGCTGTTCATGGGGGTTTCTGAATGTTTTTTCACTATGGGCATAAAACTTCATGCTTTTCTCTTGGTAATGAAGAGAATCTTGGGGGATTGGTGAGGGCTAAAAGCCCTATTGATTTTACCCGTCCTGGATGGTCAAAGTAAATTGATCACGCCCTTTGCTCCATAGCTGGCAGGCATCTGACCATTTTTCAGAAGGACTGGCCTGGTTCAGGGACATTCATACTTCAAAATTCTGCTTAAAGGGTACAAAGTCTCAGGAGTGAAGAAAAATAAGTTCTGGGGATTAACTATACAGCATAGCGCCCGTTGCTAACAACTCTGTATTATATACTGAAAATTTGCTAGGAGGGTGGGGTGGTGTCCCAAGGGTGGAAGAACAAGTGGCCGAGCAGGGTCCTGGAATGCAGGAACAGAAAAACCAGCCCCTTCGTGCCCTTCCCGCCCCCATAGTGTAACTACTGAGGGAGTTTCGGACCCTCCTGGGCAGCCTGTCTGCCCTCCTAGCCCGTATAAGGAGAAGGTATCTGCCTTACTCTTCTCCCACCCAGCGTACCTCATCCAATCGGCAAATGAGCTGCAACACCTCTACCCTGCTCCTTGGACCCTGACTGTGAGAACGGACCAAGAAGCCACCTTCATCACCGGCTCTCCCTGACCTCCAAGAAGCCGGCCCACTGTGACTCTCCCCTCCCGGCTCTAGTAACCTTTATTCTCCTTTCTGCCTCCTGTCTGGAAATTCTTTTCCAACCCACGCACAGACCACAACAGGTAGATCTTATGTCAACTGTTCTTACACAAAAATTTACAACAACAATAATGATGGTGATGATAAAGGGGTGGGAGGAAAATCTGGTTGGGGATGGACATGTTTATGGCCTTGATGCTAGTAATATTTTCATGCATGTCTACTTAGCCCCAAACCCACTGAGTTACAGGTATCAAATATGTACACCTTTCTACATGTCAACACACCTCAATAAAATTGCTTAAAAAATAATGTTAAAAAATAACTCTGGTGGAAGGTTTTCTTCTGTCTTGTCCCATGCTTTCTCACATGGGCATCTTTGCCTCTGGCTCAAGTCCAGGAAGGTACCAGAATCTCCTGAAGACAACTGTGATTGCCGGTTCTCTTTGGTCTGCATTTTAAATAAATTTTTAGCTCCAACTCTGAGTGATGTGCTCCTCTCCCCTTGCCCTCCAACTCCTAGGGCAGTCTAACCTTCCCTTTCAAGAAAAGCGGTTTCCTTCACAAAGCCCTGTTTCAGGATAGACATGTATCTTAAAGATATGTAATACACCCCACCCCTCTAGCAAGAATGAGGCAAAGGAGAAGTTAGCTACTCTTAGAATAAGACCGGGACACACACACCCACTTCAACTGAGGAAGCTGGCTTCCACTGGACCTTGGCCTGTTTGCACGTGACTGTCCACGGGAACCAGAAACCAGGAGCTGTGGGCAGGCCAGGACGCACCACGGAGTGGATTACAGATCTTTTACAGAAGGCTGGCTCACAATACCCCTGAAAAAAACAACCTACAATAGGACTTGGGGTCAGGAAGCTTTCACCTTGGTTACCCTCTGGGGCTTCAGCTTTTCTTCCAGACATATTCCCTGATGGTTAATTTTCTAAAATCCAGTAAAACCTCCTGTTCTGGCGACTTAGTGATGAATTTCTCCGCAGGCCACTTCCCTGGGAGCTTTTGCGAACTCCCATATATCAAGGCTGTTGAATTATACATTCCTTAAATAGAATGCTTCAATTTATTGTTGAGTGCTTTGACAGTTGCCCTATTTATCTGATATTGCTAATCTGACTTAATCTAATTGAACCAGAGAGAGGGAAAAAAAAAAGGCTGTTTGGCGCCAAAAAGTTCAAGGGAACCCACTTCCCTTTCTGACCACAAAACTTGCTGCTTAATTGTACAAATATTTGTGGGCTTGGTGGAGGTGAGTGCTAATTTGTTGTTTAGTATAAGGCTGGAAAGTTTTGGAGACTGCTGAGAAAACAGGACCGGAGTGCACGTGTTGTGCTAAATGCTTGGGAAAGGCTGAGGCTCCTGTAGAGAGGACTCTGCAAGCAGAAGCTTGCAGAAAATCTGAAAGGAAATGGGTAAACAGAACAAGCAACAAGAAAAACAGGCAAGAACCTGTTCTAGGGGTAAAAAGGCATTTCCCCCCTCTGTATGGATATGCCTACATTTGCTAGTTTACTGCATTTGATTTTTGCTTTAGAAATTGGTTTAGGAATGCTAAGGGAGGGAATGATTTAAGGAGTCATAATGCCTCAGCCTGGAAATGAGAATACTTAACAATGAGAAACAATCAAAGAATTAAAAATTGCAAATATGCCTTTCTTTATGCATCTCTAAAATAGGTGTAGTGTCCCATTAGGAAGATGAATTGGCTAATGACTAGGAAGCACTTGAGACCCTCAGGTGGAAGCTTTATTGCGCCATTGTTTTTATTTGTCTGAGTTAACCGCTCCCTGCGCCAAGGCGACGCTTCGCTAACTTGAATGTGTACCTGGATCCCAGGCGGCTGTTATTAAAAGGAAGGCTCTGATTCTGCAGGTTTGGGGTGTGGCTGAAAAATCTGCATTTCAGACACGCTTCCAGTGAGTTCAGCACTACTAGACCACGTTGGCAAAAGTAGGGTCTAAAATCCCTCTTTCCCAAATTGGGCTGAACGTTGGGATCTGTTGGAGAGCTTTTAAAACACTCCCCAAATGTTCTGGTTGGCCAGGCATTGGGGTGTTTAAGCACATGGCTTTGTTACTGATAGCAAGTTCACAAGTTCCTCTGCCCGTCCCACGGTGAGCAAGCAAACCGAAAAGTCCGTGTTCGGAGCTGAGAAGCGTTTACTGCAGGGCCATGCAAAGAGAATGGGTGGCGTGTGCTCAAAAAATCCCAAACTCCCTGAGCGGTTTGGAGAAAGCGGTTTTGAAGGCCAGCTGAGGGAGGGGTGCCAATTCTCCGACTGGCTGGCGGTCGGTTAGGTCACCGTTATCCGTCCTGGGGCACCAGTGGGTCTGCGGGCTGTGCGCTCGTGATCATCGAGCAGTTAACTTGTCCCTTTTGGTGCTGGTTTTACATCTGAAACCTTCAGGAAATGTGCACGAGCTGCCGTTGTCTGGGCACTTCAGAGACGAGCTGCAGCAGAGGATGGGAGCGCTCTGCGCCCGGAAGACCCCGCAGAGTCCTGCGCGCTTAGAGCTCGTCCTCCCCCTCGGACCAGGAGGCCGGCGTGCAGCGGGATGTGAGGGCCACGGGGGTCTCGGGAGCAGGGCTTAGGCTCACGCCTGAAGGCTGCTCTGGGGAGGAAATGCGGAAACGAAGCGAAGTCTCAGCCCTGCCCCTGCCATGGCGTGGTCGCTCAGCGAACCTCGACTGTTGACACAGCCTGGGACCTGGGACCCTGCGCTGCGGTGCTTGAAAGGGACAGTGACGTCGCTCAGTCGTGTCCGACTCTTAGCGACTCCATGGGCTGTAGCCCACCAGGCCCCTTCGTCCATGGAATTCTCTGGGCAAGAGTACTAGAGTGGGTTGCCATTTCCTTCGCCCGAGGATCTTCCCAACCCAGGGATCGAACCCGGGTCTCCCGCATTGTAGGCAGACGCTTTATCATCTGAGCTTACACCTGGACAAACATCGCCCCAAGAACAGAACACAAAGAGACTATAAAGGACGACAAATACCTGCCTGGAGGTGCAGCTGGGGCCGGCTGTGAGCAATAAGATACATAAAGACCAAAGACCCAACCGCCGCTTCCCAGGTGCTGGGAGCAAAAGCAGGAGGCTGTGCCCCTGCCCCCAGGACCACCCGGGGGCCTTCCCACCTGAGCTGCTCCTCCGGTCTGACCCGGGTCCCCCTCCAGCCCCTCCCCATTTCAGGGACTGCCCCCGGCCCCGCGATCAAGGGACCCTGTGGCCTGTTTGCATGCGCTTGTGCAGCAGCGCAGACCCCACAGAGCCTGAATCCATCATCGCGCCTCTTGTCAACGTCTCTTGACTAAAGAGTCCAAGCACCCCCCATCGGTAACATTAGGGGCAGCTTCGTCTATAACAAGGTACACCCCGCAGGGCGCGGACAATACAAGCCCGCGGAAAATCGGTGGTGGCAGATGCCAAGATGCACGGAGGACAGAGGAAACCTCGGCCTGTGTTAGGGGCGCAGCAGATGCTGCCACGTGAGCAGAAAAGAGAAAGAAAAGGGCGGCTTTAAAATCTTGCGTCACAGCCCTGAGGATTCCGGGAACTTGAGAGGGAACCTTAAAAGTGTGGCTCACACTGTGGGTAACAGGACAGCAGGCCCTCAAACAATAAAAAACTAAAGCACCATGTGATTCGGCAATTCTACTTTTGAGTATATATCCCAAAGAATTGGAAACAGGACCTGGAAGAGATACTCCTATGTTCACAGCAGCACGTTCACAGTAGCCAAGATGTGGAAAGAACCCATGTCCATAAATGGAGGAATGGGTAAATAAAATAGGATATGTACATACTGCAGAACCTTATACAGCTTTAAAAAGGAAGGGAATGCTGACACCCTACAATGTGGATGAACCTTGAGGACATCCTGCTGGTTGAAATAAGACAGTCACAAAAAGACGAACACTGCAGGTTCCACTTACACGAGGTACCAAGAGTAGCTAAATTCATTGAAACAGAAAATAGGACAGGACTTACCAGGGGCTGGAGAGGAGGAACGGGGAAATATCGTTCGGTGAGTATAAAGTTTCATTTTGGCAAGATGGAAAGAGTTCTGGAGATTTGTTGCCCAACAATGTGAATTACTTAACACGCATGAGATATACACTTCAAAATGGTTATTTCAATTTACCCTCAATTTAATTCTGTGAAATAGTACCATCTCATTTTTCTGATGAGGAAATTGAGACTGAGAGAGAAGTTGAAGTTTTGAGAGAGTAAGAACTGAGATGTAAGCCAAAACTAAAACTATGCTTTTAACTACTGCACTGTTCTGTGCATATAATACACTGTCAATATTCATTTGATTTTAATCCCAAAGGCTCATGTTATACAGTACTTAGAAAACGCAAGCTACTTAGACTCTGCAATAGAGAAATACTAGTAGCTAAATTATTCAAGTATTTGAAAAGTGTTAATACTTTTCTTCAAAAGAAAAGAGGTGGATTGAAACAAGAATGCATTTAGAAACAACTTGACTTCATAAAATTCTGTATGTTGATGTATTGTGTTACTAGAGATATCCTGGATTTTTTTTTTGTTTTTAAAGGCAGGCAATGGCATTTATTGGGTGTACTAAAGATTTCTTAAATTTTAACTTTACATTTAAACGTATGTTACTTTACAACTAAGTATAAACTTGAGGTTATTTTTAATGCTTCATTTAGAAATAAGAAAAGCCACATAGAATACTTCTGAAATGGCATGGGGATAAAGAAAAATATACAAATACATGCATATACACACACACCTATACACAAATAAGGGAGCCACTGTAATTCTGAAAAAAAAAAAAAAGAAAGAATTAGACCAGGTCCCTGTTTTTGAGAGCAGTCTGAGGTTTTGCAGCATGAATTCATGGAATCACTCAAGAGCAAGACTTCATAAGGTAACATACTACCCTGTATACGTGTGTGCCTTAGTCGCTCAGTCCTGTCTGACTCTCTGTGACCCCATGGGCTGTAGCCTGCCAGGCTCCTCTGTCCGTGGAATTCTCCAGCAAGAATACTGGTGAGGGTAGCTACTTCCTTCTCCAGGGGGTCTTCTTGACCCAGGGATTGAACCCGGGTCACCTGCATTGCAGGCAGTTCTTCACCACCTGAGCCCCCAGGGAAGCCCCGTATTGCCTCCGCATTCACCTCTGACTGTGTGAGAGGTGTTGTTATGGGTGTTCCCCCGGTCTTATTCCATGGCCCCTCACAGCCACCCTGTAGGTTAAATGTGATGGCCCCGATCCGGACGAGAAGCCTCTGGCCCAGGGAGATGGACAGACCTGCCTCAGGCCTCACGGCGAGTCAGGAGCAGAGTGAAGAGCTAGATCCAGGCCTTCCTAACTGCTGCGCTTGTGGCCTGCAGGGACCCCACTGCAGGGAAGAACCCGGCCCCTCGTCACTGAGGGCTGAGGCAGGCAGCGGCCAGCTGGCCGAGCACGTGGGAGCTTACATAGAGTGACAGCAGGACCGGGATGGTGTTCCCGTGCGGGCGCTCCACCCCACCCTGCCCCTCCCACGTGCTGGTCAGGGTCCTGGTGGCTTCTGGGCTGTTCCATCGTGTCACAGGCCATCCCTTTTAAAACACAGATGTTTCTTTATTGCAGAGTTCAAAAGGATGTGTACATCTACTCCATAATATGAACTACTTTATCAGGCTGTGAACACTCCAAAAGCACCGGAGATCTAAACCTCAAGGAAACGGAAAAGTAGAGGGTCAAGAAGGTGGGTGTGTTAAGTCCACTGCGGGGTAGCCTCAGTAGGAAGCTCAGAAAGATGAGACCGTGGATGCCCCAGAAAGGGGGCGGATTGCGGGGCCCGCGAAGGAACCCTTCAGCCTCACCGTTTTCCAAGGTGAGTCTTGAGATGGCCCTGGAAGGACACATTCCAAAGTGGAGAGAGGGCCTTCCAGACACAAACTGCGATGGATAAGGCAGAGTGCACAGTGAAGGGGATCTGGTCTGCGCTGATTAGAGAGGAGGATGCGTGTTGGGAGAAGTGAGATTAGGGTCCTGGAAAAGGTGAGATTCATGACTTAGCACATGAATGGACAGGTAGTAAGAATGGAGGTGGTGGTGAGCCACTGCACGTGTCGGACTGGAAAGTGGACGGGCCCATGACAGAAGCTGGGATTGATGAAGAGAAAAGCAAAACAAAAGCTTTCTGGCACAACTCAGATGTTGTTGACCTTCACTAGGGTGCAGTTCAGTTCAGTTCAGTCACTCAGTCGTGTTCGACTCTTTGTGACCCCATGAACCTCAGCACACCAGACCTCCCTGTCCATCACCAACTCCTGAAGTTAACACAAACTCATGTCTATTGAGTTGGTGATGCCATCCAACCATCTCATCCTCTGTCGTCCCCTTCTCCTCCTGCCCCCAATCCCTCCCAGCATCAGGGTCTTTTCCAATGAGTCAGCTCTTCAAATCAGGTGGCCAAAGTATTGGAGTTTCAGCTTCAGCATCAGTCCTTCCAATGAACACCCAGGACTGATCTCCTTTAGGATGGACTGGTTGGATCTCCTTGCAGTCCAAGGGACTCTCAAGAAGAGTCTTCTCCAACACCACAGTTCAAAAGCATCAATTTTTCAGCACTCAGCTTTCTTCACAGTCCAACTCTCACATCCATACATGACTACTGGAAAAACCACAGCCTTGACTAGATGTACCTTTGTTGGCAAAGTAATGTCTCTGCTTTTTAATATGCTATCTAGGTTGGTTATAACTTTCCTTCCAAGGAGTAAGTATCTTTTAATTTCATGGCTGCAATCACCATCTGCAGTGATTTTGGAGCCCAAAAATATAAAGTCAGCCACTGTTTCCACTGTTTCCCCATCTATTTGCCATGAAGTGATGGGACCAGATGCCATGATCTTAGTTTTCTGAATGTTGAGCTTTAAGCCAACTTTTTCACTCTCCTCTTTTACTTTCATCAAGAAGCTCTTTAGTTCTTCTTCACTTTCTGCCATAAGGGTGGTGTCATCTGCATATCTGAGGTTATTGATATTTCTCCCAGCAATCTTGATTCCAGCTGTGCTTCCTCCAGCCCAGCGTTTCTCATGAGGTACTTTGCATGTAAGTTAAATAAGCAGGGTGACAATATACAGTCTTGACGTACTCCTTTTCCTATTTGGCACCAGTCTATTGTTTCATGTCCAGTTCTAAGTGTTGCTTCCTGACCTGCATACAGGTTTCTCAAGAGGCGGGTCAGGTGGTCTGGTATTTCCATCTCTTTCAGAATTTTTCACAGTTTATTGTGATCCACACAGTCAAAGGCTTTGGCATAGTCAGTAAAGCAGAAATAGATGTTTTTCTGGAACTCTCTTGCTTTTTCTATGATCCAGCAGATGTTGGCAATTTGATTTCTTCTTCCTCTGCCTTTTCTAAAACCAGCTTGAACATCTGGAAGTTCACAGTTCACATATTGCTGAAGCCTGGCTTGGAGAATTTTGAGCATTACTTCACTAGCATGTGAGATGAGTGCAATTGTGCGGTAGTTTGAGCATTCTTTGGCATTGCTTTTCTTAGGGATTGGAATGAAAACTGACCTTTTCCAGTCCTGTGGCCACTGCTGAGTTTTCCAAATTCGCTGGCATAATGAGTGCAGCACTTTCACAGCGTCATCTTTTAGGATTTGAAATAGCTCAACTGGAATTCCATCACCTCCACTAGCTTTGTTCGTAGTGATGCTTTCTAAGGCCCACTTGACTTCACATTCCAGGATGTCTGGCTCTAGGTGAGCGATCACACCATCATGATTATCTGGGTCGTGAAGATCTTTTTTGTACAGTTCTTCTGTGTATTCTTAATATCTTCTGCTTCTGTTAGGTCCATACCATTTCTGTCCTTTATTGAACCCATCTTTGCATGAAATGTTCCCTTGGTATCTCTAACTTTCTTGAAGAGATCTCTAGTCTTTCCCATTCTGTTGTTTTCCTCTATTTCTTTGCATTGATTGCTGAGGAAGGCTTTCTTATCTCTCCTTGTCATTCTTTGGAACTCTGCATTCAAATGGGAATATCTTTCCTTTTCTCCTTTGCTTTTCACTTCTTTTTTTTCACAGCTATTTGTAAGGCCTCCTCAGACAACCATTTTGCCTTTTTGCATTTCTTTTCCATGGGGATGGTCTTGATACCTGTCTCCTGTACAACATCATGAACCTCTGCCCATAGTTCATCAGGCTCTCT